ACCAAACATATAGGTCCAGCATAGGAGACGGAAATGCAGGAAAATTCCTACCTAACCTCGGTCAGGTGGAGTGCTGGTGGTTATAGGGGGATTAGGAGCTAAGGGCAGATGTAAGACCCCCGAAGGAAACGAGTAGATACTCAAGTATCACTCTGATCCGGACGAAAGCGCTGATGCCTTGTCTGGATCACATCCCTAGGTCTTGCCTACCTCCCTTTGACCCGCGATTCCTTCTAACCCTACCCGCAGGCGGGGGAGGAGCGCGAGCTGCGACACTAGCCTTCTGTGGCCGTCTCTGATCCTCAGACCGAGACGGACCAGGACCCCTATGCTGTTCGGGCTTAGACCTGGACCATCTTGAAATGAAGGACTGAAGGCCGCTGAGCGCGCCTTTGCCTCCCTGAACTTCTCGACCACCGTCTCAACGGAGGTAACCAAAAATATTCGGAAGGTGAAACCGGCGCATCGAGAAGAAAGCCCCTCTCTTCCATCCCGATATCTGCCAGGTTCACCCACAGATGTCTCTCAATACCTACTATAGCTGCCATGCTTAGTAGCACAGCGAGTGAGATCTGTGGTGAGGCGAAACTCAGCTATCTCATCAGGCCTTTATCCAGGTCTTCCAGCAGGTCAGCCTAATATGCCTGGAGCACCGCATCGTGTGCAACGAAGCAACAGCCTGACCTGCTGCTGCGTATGCCCTGCCATCTAAGCGAGATGGCAAGGAGGGAGTTTTAAGAGAGGACGTCTCACCCATAGAAAGATAGCTAGCCAGTCGTCTTTTTTACAGGGGCATCCTCTCATAGTCGTTTCCGCGCATCGCCTCGACGTTGGCATAACTCTTATGCTGGAATCGATGAATGCGTAAGAAAGATAACGCTCAAAAACTCACCATACGCAGAGCAGGAGGATTGGGAAGGCTCAGCCTCAGCTTCTTCGCCGTCCTCAGACATCTCCTGCTCTTACTGGGTTGAACCCAGCAGAGCACCGGCCCCCGGATCAAACGATGTTAAAGAAATAACATCATCCTCCAGCAGCTTACTCTCGTCCACAGCCGACGAGCGCGAGAGGGAAAACCCCTTTTTAAACTCATCAGCCGGATCCACCTGCGATCCCCACGAGCCCATCCTCCTCCGTGCCTCAGCAGCGGTGGGTCCTGAGCCGCGGGGAGCAGATGGCTGCCCCCCTTTCCTCGAAAAGAGAGACAAACGAGAGCGGAGCTTTTCATTAAAATACGCTCGCAATGAACGCGGATTGCCCCCTCAAGGACATCGCGTGCGTGCTCTTTGCCCAAACAAACAACGCAGAGATCGTGTGTGTCATCAGGTGTCAAATAACGACGACGCGGATGCACACACCCTCTAAACGCTTTGCTAGTGCTCGCCATAACGATAGGAATATAGATCGCTCTTACCACGGAAAAGCACGCTTCAAGCAAAACGGTCAGTGAAGACGAAGAAGAGGATGACGTTCTCCCGGCGCCTATTTATACTATAATCGCACCGGTAGTGATGTCATGGGCTGTCGCCGGCCAACGTGTTGTTGGTGTTTTTTCAATGTATGCTTCAGACACGGGTCACGACGAGGCGTTCCCCATAGCGACCCCTAGAGGACGACGTTCGAAGTTCCCTTGAAAGGGAACTATTAGTTAGTTTCTGATAATAAAAAGTAAAATCTTAATTGATTACGCCACTCATTTATGTATACTTACCAAGGTAGATGACTGATATATAAATAGTTATCACTTTGGTTAATATATAGAAGCACACAGCTGTTGCATTCCTTTCTTCTCTGCAATCATGAGAGTCAGTGTTTGAGCAGAGTTGACCTGACCATTTTATATGTGTGTCACAACAACTTAAGTTTACATGTAGGCTGAAGTAAAAGAGTGTTGGCAGAATGGAGAGAATGTGAAGCAGTATATGGACTAATATATGTTAAAATTTGAACTTTATAAACAATTTTAGCAATAATGAGAAGCCAGTGCAACTGTGAAAGCAACGGTGTGATATTCACAAGGAGAGGTATGAGTAAGCACATGAGCAGTAGAATTTTGAATATACTGTAGTCAACTTAAAGATTTAGCTAGAAGACTAGAGAACAAGGCATTACAATAATATAATCTGGATGTAAAAAAGGCATGTTACATGCAATGAACATCAGGACTAGTGGTGATGTAGATCTTACTGTCATCCGCATAGCAGTGATAAACAAGGCTATACTTCCTGATAATCTGCTCTAGTGGCAGCATGAATGTGAAAACAATCAAAAAACATCCCAGAGAAACCCAATCAGCTATGCAGCTTATTCAACAGAACCGAATGGCATATGGTGTCAAAAGCCAAGGTCAAATGCAGAAACGTTAATTCATGTGTTCATGCCCTCAATGTTAGATTATTGGACTGTTTTATTGGGTAGTTGTTCTACATGCTTAAACTCAAGCTGGTTAAACTGAAAAAAAAAAAAATCTTGGTGGGGATTACGGGCGTATGTGCTGCCCAAATGCACATAAATGGCAGAGCCATTATGGACAGTGCAGCAGCCTCTGTACTTGACTCTGGGGCGTGAACAGGCTCCAATGCAGACTCAGGGGCTAGAGTAGGCTCAGGACTGTGGTCAGGGCCTAGAGCCGACACTGGAAATGCACGCTTCAAACAAAACAGTCAGTGAAGACGAAGAAGAGGATGACGTTCTCCCGGCGCCTATTTATACTATAATCGCACCGGTAGTGATGTCATGGGCTGTCGCCGGCCAACGTGTTGTTGGTGTTTTTTCAATGTATGCTTCAGACATGGGTCACGACGAGGCGTTCCCCTTAGCGACCCCTAGAGGACGCAGTTCGAAGTTCCCATGAAAGGGAACTAATAAATAACAAATAAAAAAAAATGCTATATAGACATTTTATTTAAAAAAAGCCCTAAAACTAACAATCAGAACAAACACTTTAAGTATTTTGTCATATATTCAGTAAAACATTTGCAATTTACTTTCTGACCTGTTCTGTCATAGTTTTGCCATGCTGTTGAACACCTGTACAACATTTTCCTGTTGTAGGCGATGAACATGCAGCTGCTGTTTTAACGGTTGCATTGCGACTCAAAGGCAACCTTAAGAAAGCAGAGGCATAAATAATAAAGATGGCATAACAAAAGGATGCAGTGCTCTGATGTCACCACAGGCGTTTAAAGAGGAGAGCCAGCCAGAGGAGCTCTCATGAATAAGAGACCCAGACGAAGAAACAGCCGTTAGACAGTCAGCTCAAGCACTGAGCAATACACAACAAAATGACCCAAATGGCCCGTACTGTGGCTAGAGGAATCAGGGAAGCTCTCTCTTCCACAGCAGCTATTTTTCTCCAGCAGTTCAGCCAAGCAGGCCAAAATTATTCAGGGCATGCTGACTGCATCCTCTGTACCCTGATGGTATTGATCTCTGGAGATGGAAAGCATGACTGCTTAGCTTCACAAAAAAGAAAGAAGTGCAACATAGACAATAATGCTCAAAGACCAAAGAATCTGGGATGGAATTCAGAAAGGTCGGAGGATTTATTGAAATAGGTTGACATTTATGAAGTAATATAGGCTTCATTGTGAAGGTCTAGCCTTTTTAGAAGGCATCATTTACACCATGACTGTTTGACTTGTGAGAGAGGATTTGTTTCTCTAGCAAGAAATGAGAAAAAGGCCCATCCATAAAAGGCCCGGCTATACACTGGTATTCAGTACAGCAGTGTGCAAATGTGAGATTGCTTAATTATATTTTGTATATATGCGTGTATGTACGTACGTATGTATTTATTTATTTATTTATTTGAGTAACCGTGCATGATTATAGTAATAATAATTCTGTATAACTAATCTTTTCCTTTCTTTTCTCCACTTCCATTTAAAAACATTGTTTCACCACCTCTGCCTGCTTAATTATATTGCCTAATTGCTTGATATTTTTTAGTAATTGTTAATTTCAGTTTTGGGTTAATTTTAATAACTTCAAATGAAAAATGTAATTTTAATTAGTCATAGTATATGTAGTAAAGTATAATTTTATAAAAATCATGGAAAATTTGTCTATGCATTCGTTTGATCATTCATTCAATCGGTAAATACATAAATAATAACCTATCCTCTGGTTTTTAGCTGAAAATAGTTTGGCAGTAGATTATGTTCTGCCAAATCTATCTCTCTGTCTCATCTGAAAATAAACAGGGAAAAAAAACAATGCTCACCCTGCAAGAACAGTTGATATGTGTTGATAGCATCATACACTTAGGACTCGCGGACCCATCCTCTTTGCTCTGTGAACATGAAGATGCAAACATTTTAAATCATTGGGGTTTTGAAACAGCATGCATCCTGTTTTTCCTCTCCTGGAATGTTTTGATGGGAGCTCACACTTTTAGCGGGCTGTGTTAACATTTGCATCTCCGTCACAGCGGGGCTCTTTGTCAATCAGGGCGTGTCTGAGGCCTGAAAAGAGATGATTGGAGTGAAGGGAGATTTTCATGCATTTTTCCGAAACTCTTCACTGTACCTGATGGCATGCGAAAAATGGTATGTTACCATGGTAACCCCTCCCTCAACAAATGACCTTGCCACTCTCTCTGATTTTAGCACCTGCTGAAAAGCGATATTCACTTTAATGTCCAAGGTGTCTGAGCAAAAAGGGGAAATTGTGTCTAAACAGACAAGACGCTCTAGGAGGCTGGGTTTTTGGCCTTTTTTTTTTTATAAAGTAGGTCCTTTTGCGAGATTTTTTTTCTAGAATGCCTTCTGGCTGTTCAGTTAGACACTATCTCAAATTTACACCTTGGAAGATTTTTCCCTTTGGAGTAGACACACAACAGCAGGGAGGCAGAGCACTCAACATGACTTTTCCACACATAAAACCAGCCAGGGAGTTTCTGTTATATGAAGCAGGTTTGTTGTACGTGGTGCAACTTTTGCACTGTGTTGTGAGTGAAGTTATTAGATTATGGAAGGACATTCTGTTCTTACTCACAGCTTACGTGGAGCTGGCCCCGGTTGCCGTTCGTTACTACGTTTCAGGTATGCACTGTGTAGGTCTGTGTCTTGGTGCAGGACGAGACTCTTTCCCGAACACCTCCTGCTCCTATTTAAATCCTTGTGTGCCCTCTATTCTGTTCTCCCTCATTAACTATTGTGTTGTGCAGTCATATTATGTGGATGTGCACTGTGCTTTTTCCCCGTATTTGTGCAAAATACAACTCTTCAATAGGTTGTTCTTGCAAATTTCTCTTCAACCTGCTGAGTAGTTGAATCCAAAGCCCATTCAGCATAATGTTTTTAGCTACTTATGAAATTATTATTAAATATTGGTGGTTTCCTGCTTTGCATCGCTCTAATGTAATAGTGAGTCATTATTTTGAAGTCATTAATTGCTGTGGTTTTATGCAGTGCACAGATTTATGGATCCTCCTCATTCACGAATAAGCATGTCCTTTTAATGTTTACCTCATTAATGCATAGTCGTTCCCTTATTAATTCATATGTAAATTAAATGAATTCATATATCTAAGCTGATAGAGAGAATCGTAAGTGTTGTAAAATTAATATATACTACAAAATAAATGATTATATACTACAACATACTGGACTTCTTAAAAGTCTTTTCATTTAAAGGCTTAGCTTAAAAGCATGAAATCAGTTAATACTAAATAATAAAATAAACATTGTCTATATGTGCATTTCTTTACAATACTAAAATCAATTTAAATAAATATAATTACAGTCACAATCACACACACACACACACACACACATATATTATATATTTTTTTCTGTATGTAGTTTTTTTTATTTACTGCCTTTTTTGTTTATTAGTAAATGGCTGTAAAATAGCTTTGTATAGTTTAATAGTATTATATAGTTTGATAAAAAAAAATATGGAAACATAATAAGTAATACTAATAATTAAAAAATACTGTAGTAATGTTTGTGTGTGTGTGTGTGTGTGTGTGTGTGTGTGTGAATCTGCAGTTCAGTATACATTTTTACATATTATGTTCGTAATTTTTTCCCAAACAATTTTGCTTTAGAATCGAAAGTGTTTGCAAAGGGTTACGTTGTTCTCGTAGTTGTAAAAATAGCCAAAAGTCTTTAGACCAGTTCACACTGATCAGATAAAATCTGACGAACGTGTCTGTTGCTATTTGTCAACGTCTGTTGGTGTGGTGTGAATTTCCCTTTTATCCTACCATAACATATTTTACAATCATCCCTTTCACTGCCTTTCTGAATGCAGATGACTGGGACAATACAGAGCTTAAATTAATTTACACACCAAAATGAAGACTTGCTAGAATGAAGATTGTATTGTCATTATGTAATTTAGCAAAGCAAGTTCTTAGTCAGAGTCATCCAGCTCTTTAAGGAGTCTGGGATGCCTTGCAGCAAACACACTCTTTCTTGTTTTCGTGCATTAATGCTTGTATTCTCATTACAGGGAGCTTCGCATTGGCAGATCTGGGCATGTGTGAGCCTCCCCCGTCATCCACTGTATATTGTTCCGATATAAGCCTACTGCAGGACAGATACGGTCTGAACGCCGGATCCGACGCCGACTCGGACCCCGAGGGGGTCATGACCCCAGAGCGCGCCGTCCAGCTGTGGAGCGGGCAGCCCCTGAAGTCCCGCCGCAGCTCTTGCCTGTCCAGCCCCAACCACTCGGTTCTCACTCTCACCGACTCTGAAAACGAGCACAAGACTGATGAAGAATCAGGTAGGAAAGAGAGAGAAAAACACTTGGGTGTGGAGAAATGAAACCAATGAAGAGACAAATGAAAAGACACTGATGATTGGAGATTTGTCAGAAGGGTAGTGCATCTAAATTAAGTGGAAAATCTGTAATTTGGTAAGACATTAGTTCCAACGTGTGAGCCTGCTCCGTCATCCACTGTATATTGTTCTGATATAAGCCTGCTGCAGGACAGATACAGTCTGAACGCTGGATCCGACGCCGACTCGGACCCCGAGGGGGTCATGACCCCAGAGCGCGCCGTCCAGCTGTGGAGCGGGCAGCCCCTGAAGTCCCGCCGCAGCTCTTGCCTGTCCAGCCCCAACCACTCGGTTCTCACTCTCACCGACTCTGAAAACGAGCACAAGACTGATGAAGAATCAGGTAGGAAAGAGAGAGAAAAACACTTGGGTGTGGAGAAATGAAACCAATGAAGAGACAAATGAAAAGACACTGATGATTGGAGATGTATCAGAAGGGTAGTGCATCTAAATTAAGTGGAAAATCTGTAATTTGGTAAGACATTAGTTCCAACAACGAATGCCGGTGTAATGAGACATCTAAATGAAATGTTCTCATTCCCCCAAAGGCCTTCAGTCTTTTTTGGGGTGAAATTGAGCATACTGAATCATTGAATAAGGACTATTTATATGATTCCCAACACTTAGGCGTCAATATTTGTAAAGCCGTAGCATTTTCTGAAGACTGCATTCACTGCGCTGGCGAGATCAAAGCGATTTACAAACCAAAGAGGAATCATCTCAATGCCTGCAATCTCAAGTGGTGTTTCTCTTTGATATAACGAGACTTTATTGCAACAAAGCAGCCTGTCTAACTTGCCAATGTCAAGTACCACGTTATGCGTTTATCTTGTTATCAGGTCATATTTATAAAATGCTTTTCGCTGACTGCTGAACTGACACAGTTGTAGCTTCTTCCTTTCATAAAACAAGCACCAGACACAAGCATGTAAATTCAGAGACATCTGTGTGGATGTGCTGTGGTGAAGCTACAGTTCTACTTCTGTTATCAGTCTCATCAGAAAGATAACTGAAATATAGTCACTAGACACTAGTCTCATTAAAAAGATTATCTTAAGATCATTCTTCATTTCACACATTTAGTTTTAGGGCCTAGTTGTAGTTTTTGTCTTTTGATGGAAATGTCCATTTAATTATATTAGTGTTGTGCAATATTAATACATTTTTGTCCATTATACAGTACATGGTCTGAAATTACATAATTGTAGTTTATAAAAATAATATTTTAGTTAAAAATAATGTGCAAAATGACAATAATATGCCTTTTTTAATATAAACATGCATAAACATTTATGAACACAGTAATGTTTGCTGTTCAATAGTTTGGGGCCACTAAGATTTTTTTTTTAAGTAATCATTATATTCAGCAAGGATGCACTAAATTGATCAAAATTGACAGTAAAGATATTTACAAAACTAGATAGTTGCAAAACTAAATAAATGCTGTTATTTTGAACTTTCTAGTCATCAAAGAATCCTGAATCATGAGCACCAAATCAGCATATTAAAATGATTTCTGAAGGATCATGTGACACTGAAGACTGGAATAATGGCTGCTGAAAATTTAGCCTTGCCATCATAAAAATAAATTGCAATTTAAAATACATTGCAATAGAAAATGTTATAATATTACAATTATTTAAAAAAATGTTCACATACTTTTTATTTCATTGCATTAGGTGTAGAACATTGCAGCGCTCACATTTTAACATTACATTACATTATGGATACAGCTTATTAATCTCATATTAATGTATAGAACGAGTTTGAGTGAGCTGATTAGCAACAGGTTCGGTTTACTAGTGATCAGCTCTTGCAACTTAAGAGAGGCAAAACATATTATTTGAATCAATTTTGTGAGCATTTTTGTAAACATTTTTCAAATTTAGTCAGTGATACCAAAGATGAAGCACAATCAAAAAGCAAACTTTTTTGTTAGTGCTTGTAAAAAAAAAAGCACTGCAGGTTCTCCAAAATGTTGAGATTAGAGTTGCACGCCTCTGAAAGGCTTTTATTGCACACAGAAAATAAAAAGGAGAGGACGCGAATGGAGCAAAGTGTTTAGGGAGGAGATGTGAAACTCCAGGGGGTGCTAACAGAAAAGGAGCAAGACTTCCTTGTTGAGGTGAGTGTGTGTGCAGAAAGGGGAAGTAGATCTAGAGGGTTGAATGCAGGCAGTCATCGTTCAAAGCCAGCCCAGCTATGCTGCTCCATTCTTGGACATCAAGGCCACCACATGCATTAATGGAAGCAGGTTGTGCAAAGGAAAGGCACAATGTGAGATTTATGATACCTGCGGCGAGATGCAATAAGCACCAGGTGCGTCTCATCACGCACTGCCAGGAGTGTTCCAGTTTTGTTCGCCTTCTTCTAGTGACGTGCTCCTATTGTGAGCCTTCACATGTGCTGGTGGTATGAAAGACAGGAAGATGATGGCGATGGTGATAAGGGGAATTGGGTATTGGGCATTGAGCATTGATTATCTCTCACACAGTCGGAGGATTTAACATGGGAAATTGACACGTTCCACTAATAGGGTTTAAACTGGAGTCCTGTGACTTAAATCAATACAATGTTAAACTATCAGATGTTAGATCAAATCAGCTCGCAAAATTAAAATAACACTATATGTAGCTATTTACAGAATAATAGTGTATTTGTCAAGTTCAACTAATCAAATTGACTAAAGGGATAGTTCACCCAAAAATGAAAAATCTGTCATTAATTACACACTCTCTTGACGTTCCAAACCTGTGAGACCTTCGTTCATCTTCAGAACACAAATTAAGATATTTTTGATGAAATCCGAGAGCTTTCTGACCCTGCATAGACAGCAAAGCAACTGACAAGACAAGAAAGGCAGAAGGGACAGCGTTAATGTGACATCAGTGGTTCAGACGTAATGTTTTGAAGCTACTAGAATACTTTTTGTGCACAAAGAAAACAAAAATAGTGAAAAATTGACAATTAATCACACTTGGTTGAAAAGTAAAAATTTGACTTCATTTTTATAGATATAAGCCATGTACCATTTTTGTAGAAAGTGCCAATGACTGCTACACCCCTAGGGACTTTTCATAGGATATTTGGTGCGTCTTTGAAGGAAGGGACTTTTTTGTTTGGAATGGTGGTTGATGACACTGCCACTGAAAACCTCTCGAGACTGCAGCGAAAGACTCAAGCCCCGCAGACATTAAAAACAGTAAAAAGCAATACTTCTGCAGCAGTGCTTCATTTGACAAGATCAACTCCTCCATCGTTTTTGCCCCTTCTTTCAAGTGTAAGCATATGAACTATGTGGACAGTTTCCAGAACAGGAAACAGTTTTGAGAGTATGACAGTTATTTATGCCAGTGTTTTCCAACCGGGGTGCCGTCTGTCGAGAGCAGGGGTGCCGTGTAAAAAAATAATTTTTTTATATTTTTAAATTGCTAAAATGTTCAAAAAAGCATCTATTATATAATATCCATTTCTGATGTCGCCAATAATTAGAGATGCACCGAAATTTCGGCTGCCGAAAATTAGTTCACCGCTCAGGTTTCACTTTAACGTGGTGTGACGCTCTGCGTTTTATCCCGCTTCTATGCGTGTGCGCTCCGCTCAGTCGCTCCACTCGTATACCGTTCATGCTCATCGGACCAGCAAAGTCCACTCAGAAATCAAGCTGACAGGAAACATCGATGTAGTACTGTATTGTTACTCTGGTAACGCTGCCCTCTCATTCATTGATCTGCTAACCGCTATGTTATGCTCGTGTGTTCTGATAATAATAGCTTTCTAGGACTAAACATTATTTGGATAATTGGTAAGAAAAAATCTCTTAATAGTCCCTATTGTGTGTTAGACCTACCTGAAAAACTAAAACGCAATTTATTTAATTCGAAGGCCTGTCGTTATTTTTTATTTGTGCTATCATTATTAATTTCTTTATTTGTTTTTATTTTATTACTGACTGCTTACTTGTCATTTTTTATTCAATTCAAAGTTTGAAATCAAGCTATCTCGTGCTACTGCAACAAAATTACCCAGCTGTAAAATCAAAACTTTGTTTAATTACCATTATAACTAGCTATCTCACAATGTTTACATATGAATAAAAGCCTGCATTAAAATCTGTCATATAAATTGGTCTCTTCATTAGAAATTAGCCTACTGATTGCCACCATTGATGGACAATTTTTAATATTAAAAATATCTGTATGACATTATATTCTGCAGTTCTTCCCTGTTGTACCGAATATCTATACTTTTCAAATTATCATATCGAAGTTAGAATTTCAAATATTGTGACAAAATTATTTTGTAGGGTGCCACAAGTTTGTTAAAATTTCCAAAGGGTGCCGCGACTAAAAAAAGGTTGGGAAACACTGATTTATGCAATAGAAATAGGGAGTAAAAATAAATCTGGATGGATTTGTGTTTGTTCAACAGTGATTATCACTTAAATGTTAGCCAGGTGAAGTATTTTGCTCTCGACTTTGCCTTCTTCAGAGAATGAATCACCAATTGCAGTTTCCCACTCAATCGAACTTCTTTTACTCCCATAATTAAATCTTTCTCTATGTTCCGCACCCACTCAGATAGCTGCATCTATAAATAATCTTCATTCATACATGAGCATTTAAACTGACAAAAGGTGGCAGTTAAGGCATTAATAATATTGCAAATTTAGCAAATAAATGCTGTTATTGTTATCTTTCTGTTCATCAAAGAATCCTGAAAAAAAAAATGTATTATGGTTTCCACAAAAATATAATGCAGAAAATCGGTTTTCAACAGTGATATTAATTAGAAATGGTTCTTGAGCACCAAATCAGCATATAAGAATGATTTCTGAAGGATCATGTGACACTGAACACTAGAGTAATGCTGCTGAAAATTCAGCTTTGCATTTTACATTTTTAGCTATTTTAAATTGTAATAATATTTTACAGTATTATTATTTTTACTGATCAAATAAATGCAGCCTTCTTTCAAAAACATTAAAAAGTCTTACTGACCCTAAACTTTTTGCATCTTGCATTCCACAAAGAATAAATCACCATAAACACGATTTCCCACTCAATCGAACTTCTTTTACTGCCTTAATTACATCTTTTCTCTAAGGTCCACACCCACTCAGATGGCTGCTTCTATGAATAATCTTCATCCATACATGAGCATCTGCTTCGTGTCCAGCTGTGTTTGTAATTAGCACACAAGCACCAAAGTGACGTGCTTTCGTAGCCACCTGCCATCTCACATTCTTGGTGACACAAGTTCTTCACTCGGGTAATGGACAGCATGCGTTTCAAAAAAGTAGAAGTTGAGTTTGATGTGCGTTTGCGCATCGGTGGCCTTATT